AAGGGATTGCGGTGTGACCATCCCCCCTGGGGGGGTGATTTCTCGCTTTCTGTCTCTGTCTTTCTCTGTCTTTCTGGCAAGCACACACACCCGATAGAAAAAAAAAAAAACCCCCAAAAAAAAAAAAAAAAAAAAAGACAGAAAACTTTCAACTTTCCCTCAAAGATCAGGAACAACACGAGGATGTCCTCTCTTAACCACTTTTATTCAACATTGTACTGGAGGTTCTAGCTAGAGCAATTATGCAAGATAAAAAAGTAAAGAGTATTGGGGTTCGTAGATGGCGTGGTGGTTAAAGGCACTGGATTCCCACATGGCCAACCACAGTTTGAGTCCCGGATATGGTGGCTTGCTTTCTCCCTTTCCCTTTCTCTCTTTCTCTCACTCTGTCTCTCTTTAGACAAATTTAAAATAAAGGAATAAATAAATAATGGAATTAAATAAATAATTCTTTTTAAAAAAAGAAATAAAGTGTATCCAAATTGGAAAGGAAGAAGTAAAACTATCTCTATTTGCAAACGACACGGTCTCATACATAGAAAACCTTAAAGAATTCACAACAAAACAGCACCATTAGTACATACCTATCTATCTATCTATCTATCTAGATATGCATATGTAGATAGACAGATAGATAGACAAAAGCTCAGCAAGGTTGCAGGATACAAGATTTCGTATAAGAATATATAAAGCCTGGGACCAGCAGTTGGCATAATGGCTATGTCGCTGGACTCCCATGTAGCCAACTGTGGTTCGAGTCCCGGACCCAGTGGTTTAAACTCACACTGGGCATGTGTGCGTGTGCGCTGAAGACCCCAAGAGGAGAATGAAGGAGAAGGGATTGCGGCGTGGCCATCCTCGCTGGGGGGTTATTTCTCGCTTTCTGTCTCTCCATCTCTTTCTGTCTTTCTGATGAGCACACGCGCCCTATAGCAAAAACCTCAAAAAAAAAAAAAGAATATGTAAAACTTAATCCTATACACTGGCAATTAACCAAAAATGAAATTAAGAAAATAATTCAATTTACAGTAGCATTAAATAAATGAAATACACAGTAATAAAATTAAGGAAAAAGGACAAGACTTACACACTGAAAACCATAAGATATAGAGCCCCATCTATGGCAGTGTAGGCTGT